GCGCCGAGACATCGTTCGGCTCCTCCGACGACGAAGGCGGACCGCCGACAATCACCCGCCGCAGGTTGGACGCGCCGCCGTCCCTGCAACTGGACGGCGGACAGGCGTCCCGCGGCCAATACGACGCGGCGGACGACGACGAACTACTGTTGTACGGCGGCCCTTATTATTCCGCCGCCGCGTCGCCCTCGTGGCTCGACCGCATGGTGGCCGCCGCGGCCGCCGCGACAACGGGCGCCGGCACTGCCGATTTCTATTCCGGTGACGCCGACACAGCCGCTGACGACCAAGACATCTACCGTCGGCGACAACAACAACAACAACAGCAAAACGGCGACCGTGCAGTGGACATTGTCAACATCGTGGACGACTGTTGCAGCGTCAGCGATTATTGCAACAACTACGGCATGGGCGGCTTCGATCAGGGCTACTACTCCGTCGCTTCGGCCGAAGTAGCGTTCAGCCCACAGACTTCGGCTCCGGTGCCGTCCGTCACGCCACCGCCGTCGTCGTGCGGCGACCCGTCGACGACCACAACCACGGTAAATACGTATACCATAGTCTCACATAAATAATATAATATAATATATATATAACAATGAATGTGTTTGAAAGACGTAATTTCCACACCTCGTTGCGGATTTGCGATCGCTTTCCGACAATATAGTCGTGTTGTAAACTTAAATGGGCTGTGGGAAAAAAAAAGACGGGTTAACAGAATGTATAATAATTCGAGAGTGACTCGAACGTTCGCCCGTCGTAACAAAATCCATGTCGCTATGCTGTGTACACGCAGTGAAACCACTGTGCATTGCGAAATCTCGACAGGTAATAGTTGAACAGAATTATTATTAGATAAATTTGTTTCCAATTCGATCGATTACGGTTCTCAAAAATATTCCGTCGAACGGAGCATAGTTTACCGATTTGTTGCACGAAACCTTTGCCGTGTTGTCCCCGTCCTCCCACCACGTGTCGTGCGGTTAGTACAGTATAGTTGTATACGAGGCGCAAACGACCACCGAGGGTCGTTACCCTTACCCCACAGCGGTTTTAATGGTTTTATTCGATTTCGATGAGCATTTATACGGCTTGTTACAACAAGTCGCTTTATTCCGGTTACTCTGTATTATGCTCGATCTGTGCGTTGTCGAACCGTGGAAGTGGCGGTAACGCGCGCGCGCAATTTTTCGTTTGTCCGGCGAGTATATTATATAGGTACTAAAAACGAAACGAGAAAAAATTAGCTCGAACCTACTGCGACGTCGATGACGACGTGACGTAATTATAATAATATTATAATATCTTTGTAGTCTCGGAGCGCATACAAGACGATTAGGTGCGGCGGTTGCGAGCCGAGGAAACGCCCGGGCGCGGCCCACATTCCATCGCCGCGGCGCATAACAGGTTTTCGCGCGCGCCCGTCGCTATAAAAAAATATACACATATATATATATATATATAAAAAATATTACAAAAACTATTCCGTACGCCCGGAGCGGCTTTGTATGATTTCTATTTTATTACGCATCGCCATCCGCGTAGAACATATTTTTATAATAACGTGACCCCCCTCTCCTCGCCGAATCCTCCCCCCCCCTCCGCATCACGCCTATCGCTGGCGGCCGTTCCGTCGCTGTGTACGGCATGTACACCGCCGCCCGTACATAATAATGACGCTGATTAGACGGTTGTTGCCGCGTTAAATTATAATATTATATTATTGTAAGCGCGATCAAACGCGTGTCGCGGCTGCGGCGGCGGCGGCAAAGAATTGCGATAATAATTTAATACATTATAGTAATAATTACAATATTATTTGTAACCATTAAAATATTATTATTATTATTATTATTGTACATATTGTATTCGCCTCGTCGACATTTTATTCCGCGCGCGTTGAACTGCAACGGCCGTCTTACGGCGATTCGCCCCGGGGAGGGGTTTGAGCGTGTACGTATACGCACTCCGAGATCGACTTGGAAAAAGACCCGCACGACCCTTTCCAATGACTTCCCCTTAAACCGTACGCGCGTCTAAGTATCCCGCCGTATTATATGTACGATACGTACTGCACGAGCAGACTTTGGAACGGCGGTCATACGATAGTGCGCGACGACATAATATTGTATCGTGTGTGTGTGATGCACGCGACGTTATATCATACACTCGTGTAGTCGTGTACAATATACGTAATGATAGCATCCGTACAAACGATCTTTGTTTATGACGTATTTGTTGTCCTAGATTATCTCGAAAACTGCAGCTCAAAAGTTGTATCACAATATATTCAACCGCTGATTCATCGAGAACCTAAGAGTGTTGATAGTTTTTTTTTTTTTTTTCTAATAGCCGTAAGTCCAATATCCCTTGAATCACAGTATCACCCGCTGATTTATTTTTGGATTACGAAAATCGAGTATACGTTCATTCCAATGGTTTCACGTTGATTATACTGCAGATTTCATTATTATTATAAAATAGAATAAGACGTAGAATTTATATGGATTACAATAATGTATACAGATATGAATATTTTTTTTAAACGAATCATAAAATCAAAGACTCGTGAACACAATAGTTGTTATGATGATTAATTTTATGATTTGCTTTCTCAATTCCAGACATATTTTTAGTTGTAAACACATAGACGAATACACAATCCTAACGATATTGTATTTACGTCGAATTTTAACCAATAGTTAAATCGGTCTCGATTTTTTCGGTGTTTACATCAAAAATATGTTCAAATAGTTAAAAAGTAGAAAATCATAAAATCAATTATTATAATTGTGTTTATATTATGTATTCCTACTAAAACGATAGAAAGATGGATTAATTTTAACTCGGGCGAAGTATTCTACAGATAGAATTTTATATTTTATTATTTATTTTTTACGAAGATCTATGACACACGATCGCCAATTATAAATGTATGTTAAATTTAATTTTATAATAATATGTTACCATTACCACAATGATGACGCAAACATTAATGGTATTCGTTTCAGCTGTAATTTGGTAGACAACATTTGAAATTTTTGACAGAAAAAAATGACGTTCAAATTAACATGTTCTATGCTAGAAATATTTTCTCGCGATTTTTAGTGTCACATGCAACAAAGATAAAATTAACCCATTTCTTACATTTCTTATACATTATACTCGTATATAAATACCTAAATAAACCATTTAAATATAATAATGATAATAAAAGTTATAAATCACATTACAAAAATGCAATAATTTTTGTTGATAAATTAATTTGATGCAAATAATTAAATAATTCGGTCAATCAATTCTAAAAAATAAAATTTGAATACAATAGTTGAACCCTATATTGCGCACGTTTATGTATTTACAGCTATTTGTAATTTAAATCGTTTATGTTCTACTTTACAGAGTGTGTTTGTATATTTCAACTGCAATATAACTATTAAGTGGTAACTTTGTGATTGCACAATATTTGCAATACGTAATACTAACGTTTGTAAATGTATTCAAAAACTATTGCTAATCTATGCATAATCTTGGTAAAAACTATAAATTATAATAATATTTACATTTTTCTTAAATTTTTTAAAAATCAACATTTAACGTGTTGTGGTCATAATTTATTGCTAGTGTGTATATACATATATTATAGCTTAAAAGTCTCGCGATCAAGAATACAGTCTTATCGAGATTTTATTCATTTCATTTGAATAAGTTAAACAAATTGCACATCAAGTGGACTCATTCTATTTCGTATGATAATAGTTTATGTAGGTATAATATACATAATTAAATGAGTGCGTATTATGAAGATTTGTTCGATGATATCGCTTTAGACGACAATGTCAAAAATTGGTCGACTCTTGTTCGCACGTGTGTGGTCTATAAGTAATATATATATATGCATAATATTTCGATTTATCCATCGGATATGACATATCTATATTTTACATAGAACGACATTTATTTTATTTCAAGTCCTTTCAAACGTCGCAAACTCTTGTGATACAGTGTAATCATCGATGCGGGAATAATGTTAAAAAACGTAAGATTGTGTTCGACGATCTCTCCCCTCGTCCATTCCATCATCACCACACATTACAGGTGTTTGCCACGCGCGTCCGTATTGCGTAATCACCGCGGCGGCCGTCTTATAAGACGGCTTATACGCATATTATATATACTTACGCGCCGCCGGATAACCTTGTGCCGGGACACATAATATACGTGTGTACATATATATAAATCTAAATATATATATTTATATATATGTAGTTACAATATTATTTATATCTGTATTCTATATTTACGTAGAACATTATACACACTCGTACGCACGACGACCGCGCCCGCCGACGCACTTGGAATTTGTCCATTTCGAAAGGAGCGCGCGCGCGTGACGACGACTGCAGTGTCCGGTAGAAAGTAAAAAAAACATGCACACCCCTCCGCTCTTCCGCTGTCTCGGGGGGACTAGCCACTCTGTATATATTTATACAATAATATACATATTATATACCTATGGCGGCGTATGTGTATATATATATATATGATAATAACATATTATTATGTGCGTCAACGTTTTGATGATTTTGTTTTTTTGTTTCGACACACGTGGGGCCCATCCGCGGTCATGTACCCATGTGTAATGTGCGTGAGTAATAATAACTATACAATAAGGTCCGCGGAAGAGCGCACGTGTACAAAAAGTATCACAACGCGGTCGTAGAGAAGTCGATATCGTACAGTCTCAGCCACTACGAGTCTCGACCACTGGAAACAATTATTATTCGTATTTAGTTATCAACGCACAACTGTATGCGTAGATATTTTAGCGCTCCCGCGAACCCAAAATATGATGTACTCGTGCAGGTGTGTGAAAAGGTTTAAGTTTTCATTCATAACGATGACGGTTTTTTCAAATTCGTCGTGGAATATTATAACCATGTCGTGTACACGTATTTGTTCATTTTTTTTTTCTTACAAGTGATTATTAGATATGCATATAGTTATAAAAATATAGGATACCATACCCATACAAGGTTAGGTTAGTTATTTAGATACACTCAATGATCTGACGATTTTGACACGTTCAAGTGTAGTTTTGAAGTAAAATTGTCGTATCTCCGTGATACACTGTGTATATCGTGTAACACTTCTATTCTATTATAGATCAAGTATGTTGTGTGACATTAATTTTTATAATTTATACCCAATAACGTAGATAATATATTAATATGACAGTGTTATTGATCAAATCATAAAAAAAAAAAATGTACTTATCAATATTAAATATAAAACCATTAGAATTAAAAGAGTATTTAAATAGAACAGCACCTACGTGTGTATATCATGATACGTAATTAAAAACTGAAAATTCGTTCAAAAATGTATTTTTTAGTTATAATTTGTGGAGAAATACTCTATAGCTATAGTAGTAACTAGTAACTATTCCTGTATTTTTAGTATTTTTTTAATATTGAGTGTTTTATACTCGTATAGTTACTAAAATGATGTTGATGATGAAACAAGTGACAAAAATCACATGTTTATATAGCGAGAGTAAATAAAAATGTAAACTTTTTACCTAGGTAATGAATTTGTGATTATTACATTATTTATGGGTTGGTTTTAAAATATTTAAAGTCATTCAACAATATGACATAAATAAGATTCAAGCTTTTCTGAAAGTTTAGAATCTTGTTTTGAATGCAGTTGATATTTACATCATCATATAATATTATACCGTACTATCCTTTTGCTATTAATTATTATAATCTGCACATTGCAATGCCCACGACTATACAAGTAAAGAATAAATACGACGCTGATATGATAATGCAATTGAATGAAGGCGTATTTTATTAAAATATTTAAAAAAAAAATAAAACAACGCAGTAGTCCGGCTATGCAGATTAGTATGTAATAGTATCCTATGTTAATGAATAATATCAATAAACAAATAAATTTTACAACAGATTTCATAATTATATTGCAGTTTTACATTTTTTTTTTACACAACTGTAGTAGGTAATTACAATGTGGAAAATAAGTAAATGCAGTTCTTGATTTTCTTACAAATAGTTGATATATAGATGAAATTTGTCGTAAAATTATGTTGATAGAGTTTATGTATACATATTGTTTGACAAATTATTATTTCATAATAAATGTTGTTTTGATTTTGTCAACGCCCTTTCATACTTAGGTAACACAATGAATTAGCATTAAATGACTCATAAGAAAATACGTATTTCAAATGAATGCCTCTATTAATTTTTTATTCATAAAAATACTCGTATGTTATTGAACTGAAAAAAAAAGTTGTTATATATAGGTATTTTCATTCTCGCGCCTATTAAAAAAAAAAAAAAAAAAAAAAAAAAAAAAAAACTATACGCAGATCCATAAAAATATACGAGGGAACATAGAAACGAGTTTAGTTTATTACAAGTCCAAAAATGGTTTCGATTTTTTTTGAGTTTCGAGTCTAAAAAACAGTTTCGTTTTTTCTAAGCTCCGAGTGCGTAAACAGTTTCAATTTTTTTTTCGGACGAACCGGTTTTACGAATGGGTCTTAAACCTGTTTTGATCTATCTAAGTATAGTATAAGTCTTATTTATCGTCAAATCCAAAATACACCTAGTCTACCCCCTCCACACATACCAACTAGTTCCTATTTCCGTAAATACCATTCGATTTCGTAAGTCACGTACTCGCGTTTCGCCGTGTCGGCGCGGCATGCCCACGCGCATCATCGCGCACACACACACACACACACACACGTAAACCAATCCAATAACAATAACGCGTCGTAATAAATCATAGTTATTGTACTGAAGCGTTTTATACGTAATTTATGTAACGTTTTTCGTGACCTTTCAGAGCAACGACGGTGACAATATTGTCCAACAGATGACGACCTGGAAAACGACTGAAGCAACGGCGTCCGACGACTACTACGACAGGCTGCTGATGACGGTCATGATGGAGGCGGCCGCGGCCGCAGGTTCCGCGATCCCATCGCCGGCCAGCGAGAGCAACTGCGCCGGTGCGGCTGATAACGTCGGCAGCAACTACATCAGCAGCAGCAGCAGCAGCAACAGTAGCAGTAGCAGCAGCACTTGCAGCACCACTACGTTCAACAGCGTGGCCAGTGGCGACGTGGACGGCGGCAACGCCGCGTGCTTCAAGATGGAAGTGGACGACGACGAGTGCTGCGGCGGCAGCGACGAGGCCACCACGACGGCCGCGGACGAAGACGACGTGGACGACGACGACAACGAGTCGGACGTGTCCGACGCGATAATGAAGTTTCAACCGGAACAGCAGCTGCTCGTCAACGCCGCCGCCGCCGCGACGTGCTGTTCGACCACGGCAGCCGTGGCCGAGCCGGAGAACAAGACCGCGGCGGCCGTCGCCCCGTCCGGAACCACGTCATCGTCGCAACACATCCACTTGTGGCAGTTTCTCAAAGAACTGTTGACCGCGTCGTCGGCAGCCGCAGACCTGCAGATCGCGGCCACCGCGGACGGTGACGCGGCGCCACAGCCCCCGCCGTCCCCGTCCACGGCGCTCTCGAACGCCACCGCCGCCGCCGCGACGAACAAGTCGCAGCAGCCGCCGCAGCAGATGATCCGGTGGTTGGACCGGAAGCTGGGCGTGTTCAAAATCGAAGACAGCCAGGCCGTTGCCCGTCTCTGGGGCCGCCGCAAGAACCGGCCCGCCATGAACTACGACAAACTTTCTCGAAGTCTGCGACAGTACTACAAGAAGGGCATCATGCGCAAGACGGAACGCTCGCAGCGGCTCGTCTACCAGTTTTGCCATCCGTACAACGCTTGACGTGTGATGATAACAGGACAAAAATTTACACAATATGTACATATTAATATTATTATTATTATTATCATTATTATTATTACTGTTATTATTATTATTAATATCATCATCGGGTCTGTGAATCAATAATTGATTGTGACGTTTTTGAAAATACGTTTTCGCGCATCATCATATACGAGCGCTCTGTGTTGCTACTGAATTAATTTTGATATTTCGAAGCTCACTCCCACCCCACGGTCACTCTGAATTGTTGTAACACAGTCCCGGTTGCATAGGCGGATATTTGATCGAATTTTTATTTTTATTTTTTTTTTCTGAGCGAGGGGGGGGGGCTTAAATCTTTCTTTGCATTTTTGTAAAATAGATACCTATTTAATGCTTAGAAAAATGTTCAATAACTTGGGGGGGGCTTTCGATTTTTTTCAAAGCATCCCCCAATCTCCGCCTATGCCCTACGGTTGTAATGGGTATGTAATAACGTAGGTACACTAGGTATTGCACCAGTGGATTATAAACGTATAAGCGCGGTGGTGGTAATAACATGATAAGTCAAAACTTGTTATAGGTTAAGTTAAAGTAGTGCTTCTACTTCGGCCGAACTATCTGTAATGATAATTCGGCAGAGGTAAAACGCTCGCATCATAATATTATACTCGCGTGTATAAGCGCGCGATACGCCGCGCCGTCTCGTACTCGTCGCGGTCGGACGGGCGGGCGGCGGACGCGAAGCGGCTTAGGCGCGAACGATGAACGCGGAAGGTAATTTTCGCGTGCGCCACCGTCACGGCCTTTTTTTAAGGGTGACGGGGTTTTTTTTAATGGGGGAGGGGGATATTGGGTAGTCGTCGAAAATGCGGTCCGGTGACGATTTCGGTTTGTATATTTATATTGAAATGATAATACAAACTAAATCGCACGAACGATTTTCGACGGTATACGCCTAGTTACTTGTGGTCGAACGCGAGCTGGAGAGTTGGAAGAATATTGTGGCGCTTTGGGCGTGATTTTTTTTTTTCTATTTTAAAACTACCCGACCGCCGGGCCCTATGCGGCCCCGGTTGGACTTGGGTGGTTGTTATCGGTCCCATATATCAATGATATATTGTCTATTACGTACGTTCTGTGAACATGTTTTTTTTTAATTTTAATCATAACATATATGTTTTTTTTTTATTATACATAATAAGTATTATAAGGTGTAACATATATATTATTATTATCATACATTATTATATTGTGATTAATTAGATTTACAATATTGTGGAAGGAAGGGGGCGATTACGGATTCTGTGCGGACTGTATTAATCCGCAGACGTAATACGCCAATTGGTGCAGGTTATACATAATAATTATTACATCCATAAATCTACGCATAAAATGAGCAAAAATGTAAAACTTAAGCCATATTAAATTCAATGCTCGAATTGAAAAAAAATAAACAATGTATTCATGGTCTCAAATGTAAACTAATGATTTGCGTTCCTTATAATTGTCAAAAAAATGGTTATCTCCTTACATGAGTCTGAAATGGGTTAACTCTAATGCCTCTAATTAAGCACTGATTTTAACATTGTATTGTTGAGATACACGTGCGCTAATATTGCAAATAATATTGTATATTTTATATAGCCATATAGGTGCGTATTTGTAATAATTATTGAGCTAGTTAACTTAAGTTTTGAAAATTTAATATTTTTTAAGCTTTTTTTATAATAATTGTTAAATTTTAAATAATACTAATTCATGTGTAATACATGCGCTCAATAATAAATAATTTTAAGTGTTCTGCATGTCTTATCATATTGTAAATAGTTTTTATGAGACACTTCGATTAATGTATACACACGATGATGTATTGTATCACATTAACAATGTGAATTATAATATTAATAATAATTTATACACGTTACAGACATTAGGTATTAATATTATAATTTATGACGTATGTAATGTACATAGTACGTAGTATTGATCTATAAACCAAGCTACGACTTATAATATTATACACGTTAACGTTACCCTTTATTAACATATTAGTCCAAATAATATTAATTTTATGACTTATTGTTTTCATTTGTCGTACATATCATAATTATTAATGTGCTTACAAAAAATATAACATGACGAAGAATCGTCAACAACGCGGTTACGGGTTATTATTGTATACCTATAGACTATAAGAATTTAATGTAATTATACTATTCTATAACTTTAATTCAATTAATAAGAATTTTTTATAGGTAGTATAATTTATTAAGTTAGTGGAATTAAGTCTTTTTTATATTATTTTCAAATTTTAAATATATATATAATATAAAAGAAGGGTTTTTAACAATAATTTTAAAGTATATTTTATGATTAATTGTAATCACTATATAACTGTATATATAATGTATATTATATTATAATTTTGTTTTTATATTTTTTTTATAAATGTTTCAGACATTAAACATTTTTATAAATATTGTAATATTTGTATTTGTTTTTTAATAACATTATGATATTTCATATATGTTTTACCAAATCTTCATCGCGTAGATCTAATAGATAGAATTTCAAGAATTTTATCGATTCTATAGTATCTCTTTTTATTCATGGAATAAGTACATTAATATTTTTAGTTTTATCAGTATCGATTTCACTACAAAAGATTGCAATTAATTAAACTATAGATCCTGACAAATTAAAGTTGTAAGTGTAAGTAACTCGATGTTAAGACTAGAACTACGCTGTTTTCTTACCGAAAAAAATACTAAATAAAGTTGTATCAGGACTTATTAAAATATTATTAACAATTTAAAGCTTAAAAAGTTAAGCTATTGCTTATACATATTAATTTATTCAAGTTAAAACTCAAAATCAAATTTAAAAATATATAAAAATATTACTATCATATATTAAGGATTTAGTATGAATAATTCTGTTGCATACTAGCATTATTCAAAAAAACTGTAAAAACTTTTCATATTTTATTTTTTATTGTTATAAAGGATACTAGAATACACAAATAATAATGTATAACTGTAATTGTTAAAATATTTAATTTAGTCGTCAGCGAAAATATTATTCAAATAATTAATTTTTTTTAATAAGTAATAATAACATTAAATGTTTAATGCCTTCGTTATATAATTTAATACAATACAGTTAATAATATTAGTCTATGTAATTATTAATGTGTACTATTATTATTTATTAGCTATTATCATATTAACCTATAGGGAAAAAAATTATTTAAGAAAACAAATAAAAAAGTTATAAAATTGATAAAAGCTCAAAAAGAACTAAAATATTTTGAAAATTTTATAATGTCTAGAAAATGTTGATATAAATATTTTTTAATAGTTTCAAGTAATTACAATTATTACTTTTTAAATTACAATAAAAAAAGAAATCAAATTATTTTTGTTGAAATCTGGTGCGTAAATAAATTCTAATTTTTTTTATTTTTCAATTATTTAGAAAAATTGTAGACATTTTATCCACAAAACACTACCCTTGTCCCTTATGCCAAAAAAAATTTTAATTTAAATAATTAAACATACATTGTAAAAACCACACATTTATCGCTCCGCACAAAATCTAAAATATAAAGATTATAGGTACATTATCATGTAAGAATGGTACCAATATATTGAATGTATGATATTTTGATTATAAATTTTAAATATAGTTAATACCCTTAGGTAATCATTAAAAACTAATATTATAAGTTTAAAATAAAACTAATTAAAATTATTTTTATAATACAGTCATTATAGGTATACGTTTATATAACTTTAATCTACAATTTTTGTTACGGTGGCGTAGCCGAAAAAACACAGATTCAAATTGAGCGAAATTACAGTTTTGGGCATTAAATTCTAGCCGCGCACTTTGAAGGCGTTCTATCTGGACGAAATCTGAAGTCTGAAAATGTAGGATTTCACCAACTGTCATGCTGTGCACTGTGCAGTGTTTGTCAGTTAATCTGATGCATACTAGTAATTACTAATTACTATTCAATTGAAGTTGTACTTACTATACATTTGTTTGAGTAAGTAAAAATAATGTACTAAAAATAACTGTAGTGGTGGCAATACTCGCCCATTTGATCATTGATGCTGTACTTGGCAAGTACACAAGTCATGGAGAACCGGGTTTACCATGACATGCCATACTACCATGCTTGGCAAGAAATTATAGGAAATCGAGAAACGCGTTTGTTGGATCGGAAGTGGTGAGGTTCATAAGAATAAATAAATATAATTCATATTAAATACACGTTCACAAAACTTGTTTCATCGGAATTCGTCACGGTGTCAACACTTTATTACATAAAGATGATGATGTGAAACGATTTAACTAGCAAACAAAAAATATCGTCGTTTTTTTCACATTTTATTTTTGCACATATGTAATATTAAAATACATTGATATTGTTTAGTAGTTATACTAGCTCTCGAAAAAATCAAAACTATGTAAATATTGATCACAGTTGATATTATTCACAAATTCCTAGTAAAATTAATGCGATTCCTAAAATTATTAACAGTTTGTCGCATTGTTAAATTAAGTACCTATCAGGGACGTATATGAAATTTTCTTGAGAAGAGGGATATGAAAAATAACATTTTAGTATTTATATAAATTATTTAATTAATAATAGTCCCCCTAAAATTATGTATAATATTTTTAACGCTGGTACCTGGTATCCCAACCAAAAATAATATTTCATCATTTTCATCATCAAATAAAATTGAGTATAACTATTGCAACCTTATAACTTTAGTTACTCTGTATTTTTGTGTAAGAAATTTTATAATAATGATAATTGAACATAATAAATTATACTCTTATAAGACGTCTTATTTTTTTATTTTATAAAATAAATTCTAATTTTCTATATTTTTTATTTATATTATTGTTATTATTATGTGATGTCATTGATTAAATATAGACATATAAATATGTATAGTCATTCAATATTAATGTTACTCACAGTATAACAAAGTTATAAGTAAAAACTATACTGTTAAACCAGGTCTTAAAAAAAGGGAGCAAGGGAGGAAATCTATCCTTCTTAAATCATAAATATGCCACTGGTACCTTTAGTCACGTAATGCATCAAAAAATGTCATATAATATATCCACAGTATGATTGATCTCGTAATGTATAGATAGAGTAAGGTATAAATAGAGATATTAAATTTCTGAAAAATTTTTAAGAGAAAGTAGGTAATTTAATTTTTCATTTAAAATACAGCTTTATGTTTTTTATGAGTTAATTGATATAATCATAAAAGCTTAAAATATTTTTTAATTAAATTTATAAATATATTTTGTTTGACTTCATTTTTATCTTGATTAACCTCAATAGTATACTCAAAATGTTAAATATGCATTTAAATCCTTTTTTTTAAAACTTAATTATTTAATAAATCATAAATTAATAAAATATATGTGACAATAATAATCATTAAAAGATTTTCATTAAATTTTTTCTAAACATTTATTAATGAAAATGTTCCATTAACATCATTATAAGTACATAGGTATAAACTATTATAGCTATACATTAGGTATCAATCAGCTTGGTGGGCTAATACAAAATACATAACAGCCATAAACTGGAAATAATTTAGCTAATATAACTCTATACTGTGACAAAGCAATTTGCAATTTTCTTTTGAACTTAAAGGTTAAGAATAAATTTAAATAAAAAAATTTAATTAAATTTTAATAATATCTAAAGTATCATTGTTTTTTGTTAATATAGTATTGAGTTTAACTAATCAATGATAGTATTTAGAATGAATAGTTTTTAAAACAAAAATGTCACTCCTGTCAACTAATATTAAAAATGAATAGAATTAATTAGGTTCTGTTTAAAAAATTATTATTAAATTTAAGGAGTCTAATATTGAATATTCAAAGTCAAAATACAAAATTTGTATTATCAATAAACTTATATATATAAATAATAAATTAAAAACCTTAATAATTTATAAAGTTCATATATTTTACTAAATTTAGCTTATTTAGAAAAAAATGAACAATTTTATTTATAAGCTAATATTTAAGAAATTATTAGAATAAAAAATCATAGACTTTTACTTTCAAATGTATTCTTGAGTAAAGTTCAGTTAAAATCAATGAACTTTATGATTTTCCTTACATATGAATTGTATAAAATTTGTTGGAATTTATTTTATCTAATAAACAGTTATTAGAAAAATAACATTGTACATTTTATAAAAATATAATAATTATTAATATCCATTGATAACATCCAAATGCATATTTCTAAACTAATTTTATGATAAAAGGATCTTAAATTGTAACTGTGTTATGTTAAATAAAAATAAAAAAACAATATTGAACTACTTTAAAAAAATTTTAAATAAAATAAAAAAGAATATTTATTAAAGTATACCTAAATGCATTGAAATGAATTCAGTAAAATTAATTTTTAATCAGATGTAAAATATACAAAGCAGATAAATAGGTATTCAAATATCCAATTTTTGTTGTTTAACAACACATGTGACATGTATAAATTAGTATAATTTATGAAAATCTCTAAATGTTTTCAAATATTAACAAACTTTGTTAAAAAATACATAAGAATGCACTGTTTGTGAACTATGGGGAAGTAGTTTAGTAGGTATCTGTCATTTTTACCATTTTATCAGAATTAAAAAAATTGTGATACTACACTAAACAAAATTCAATTATGTCCACATTAAAATAATTATTGTTAAGCAATAAAATGTATGTATAAATGGTAAAGCTAAAACAAATTTAGTACTACAACTATAAATATTAAATAAAAATAAATATTTTAACTAGGTAACTACTCATTTCAGACGTTGTCTGTTATTAGGTTACTGAGACATTAAAATTGCAGATAAAACACATAAATACAATGTATTAGCCAATTTTAAAATGTATGTATTATTGTAGCTATTTCTTTAATTCATTATTATTTATAATAAAAACATAAGTATTAAAAATATACTAAATTAATTATTTGTGTTTTTTTAGTTTAGAAAAGAGAAAATATGTCCATATTATGTACAATATAAAAATATTTTTGTTAACTGTTAAAAGAAATGTTGAATATATAATAATAGGTATGAAAAGAGAATTTAGTTAAACTTAAAAAAATATATTAACAATTGGGTATTACTATAAAATAATAATAAAATGATAAAAAAGTTTGTTTACAGAAAATGTATGGAACATCTTAAACAATTTAAATTTCATGTGCATAACATAATCACTGATTGGTTAGGTAACTATAATATTATTAAATTACTATTTTATAACTTAAACATAGAAATTCAATGTATGGTAAGGGTAAGTTGCTATTAAAAAATAGCTAGTTACAATAATATTACTTTCACTAGATTATTAAAGTAGGTACTATTAAAAATAAAAATGATAAAAACATAAAATAATTCATTAAGATAAACAGAACATTTTGTATTTATTGATTAATGTACGATATATTTAAACATGTATACAGAATATTATAAATATTTAAGAGCAGTTTTACAATTCTTATTTTGCATAAAATAAATAATATTGTTTAATAAATATTTATGATATCTACATTCGTTATTCATACATCAACAATAGATAATCATTGTATAGCTAAAAGTATGCTATTATATAAACTGTTTAATTTTACATTGTATCACAACACATTTTGGATGAATTTTAAAGTAATTCTCATTTTACAAGGTTGATAAATTCCTATTATATTATTTATAAAATTTGAAAACGATTTTTAGGTACATAAGCGTGCACAAAGATTATAGTCATAAATAATTAATGAACATTCAAATTTATACATATTCTAGACTCTAGTACAATCTAACCTTTAGGAGGAGAATATTTTTCCACCACTAACCACTATCTACTACACATTCTTATACCTACATTAATTTGTAAAGATACATTTAAAATTATAAACAATTTATAAAAAGTTATTACAAAATCAAATAAATTTTTACTTATTAACGTATGTTAAAAATATAACTATGTAATAATAAAAACCTTATAACAAGTTATTACCTAAAGAATTTTACAATTCCACGCTGTTAATAATATTATTTTCTTATTTTATAGTATTATATATACTATAAATACTGAAATAATTGAAAAGAGCTACAAGAAGTCTTTGGGTATATACTTTTAAGCAACAGTAGCAGCACCATTTATGAAATATGAGATTATGGCAATAGTAGTTACAACGATGACAATAAAGATTGTTTTATGTTAAACAATGTTTTCTTAAAAATTACAATTTACAAAACAAAATAACAAAATCAATCTAACACATGTTGTTTGTAAATCAAAACCTTCATTACCGTGTTCAGCTAATAATGAGATCACGAATGTGACCAGCAGCCAATTACGACTGTACAGTTATTGCACTAATAAATATTTGAAGTAACAAAATTACAAGTGCAATGGGCAATAGTTAACGGTTTGTTTTAGATAAGTGTGCTCGCAAAAAACAGAATCTGCTGTCAGATATATTACTTAATTAGTGAAACAATAACATTAATGTCGGTGTCTTATCTGTCATAAACTATGGCGTATTGCCCGTACATAGATACAAAAGAGAAAGGAGTTTGATGATGTTGCGTTTGACAATATTGTATTAGATACAGCTCTCGTCGGCAATCGACATTCGACATGCTGCATTTTTTAAATTTAATGCCAACAATAAAAATGCCATATACACTAATACACTATACAGCGAAACGTTTGAGATCAGTTATCACTTATCACAGCACACAGAATCATTTATCAACACCGCGTTCGGCTGATGATAACGGTCCGTCAAGCTGTTCGACCGCAAGTGACCGCGGTTTGGTCGTAACCGCCCACAGCCACCGCGGACGTTATCAGACCGCTGTAAACGTTATCAGACCGCCGTCGGCGCGACTCGCCAGTGAGTTTACCAATTAATTATTTTAACAACGACATCCGGATTTCGGAATTTTCTCACGGTGCCACAACCCGGGCTCGCCGACCAAAGGCATGGCTAGGACACGTGCGACACGTCTCAAACGTTCAAAACAGTGTTCGTCGACGGTTTTGTCACGGAAGTCGTAGCGTAATCGACTATAGCTCGGGTAAGTAGCCGGACTTTGCGACGGGTTCGTCGTTTGTGCAATAATCGGTAATCGCACGCTCACGTTTAGGCGCCCGTATCGTCGTCCATCGTTCGATCACGTGATAATTCGCTCATCATTGTGAAATATACACCGCGTAGCCGAACAGTTGACTGCCACGCGCTTAACCGCGAACACGCAGCCACTCGACGACTCATTCGCCTGGTCACCGGGTGAACGACGATTACACCTACCTTATCGGTTATCTCAATATTATATTCTGCGCGTCTAACGATAATTATTGTAGCCGTTGTTCGAACGAACGAACGGAGGGAGATTGTCGTTCCCGGTCCGTTTGTGCGCACGTTAATCGTTTGTGGCGGTCGCGGATTACTGCCCTAGATCGTCTGTCCGGCGCTGTCTGCGATCTGTTCACCGGGGAAAAACGGAAAAAAAAAACGCAAAACGTGATCGAATATGGCCGTCACCAGTAGTACTACTTCGGCAGATACTTCTGTTGCTGACGATTTCCTGGCACCGCACGAGCAGGCGGACACCATGACGACGACTTCGCCACTGGTCGGCTTGGCCAGCGGGTGCGCCGGCGCCGTGGCTCTCGTGTACGTGGGCCAGCCGTTGGACACGGTTAAGGTACGCATGCAACTGTCCACGGCCACTCAGGCCGTGACGTCTAGTGGCGGCTTCGGCGGCGGCGTGTCCATGTGGGATTGCGTGCGCGACATGTGGCGTCAGGCTCTGGTCACTCCGGCGGCCCATCACCGGCCGTTGACGAACAGCACATCGGCCGCCGGAGCCGTGGTCGAGGCGTGTCCGTTAACGGCCGCCGCGGCTACCCGTCAGCAGACTAGCAAGGTGGCGGCCGCCGGTCGCATGGCTCGACTCATGTACACCGGCACGGGCCCCGCGTTGTTGGCCAACGTGGCCGAAAACGGAGTGTTGTTCGCGGCGTACGGCCCGTGTCAGCGGTTGGTGGCGTTTGCTTTGGATCTGTTCGGCGGGACCGGTACCGGGGCCGTGGACGTGGAGAAAAAACTGGGCCCCGCCGGCATGGCTACGGCCGGTAGCTTGGCGTCGCTGTGCTCGGCGTTCGCGCTGTGTCCCACCGAGCTGATCAAGGTCCGCCTGCAGGCGGCCGACCTGGACAGGGCCAACTGCGCGTCCGCTTCCGGCGGTACGTCGGCCGGACGTCCGCACAGCGCCGCGGCCGGCACGCTGCAAGTCGTGGCCCGGGTGTGGACCACCGAGGGCGGTCTCCGTGGCATGTATCGTGGACTGGGCTCGACGGTGGCACGCGAGATGCCCGGCTACTACGTATTCTTCCTGGCATACGAGGCGAGCCGTACATACTTGAACAATTGGCATTACGGTGCGCTAAGCTCATTGGTGACCACTGCGGTGCCGTCGGCGGAACAGCGCGATGATCCGGCTTGGGTGACCATGACCGCGGGCGCAGCCGCTGGTACCTGTCTCTGGCTGGTCGTGTATCCGGTGGACGCGATCAAGTCTCGAATTCAAGCGGCTGGTGGCGTTGGTAGTACGGCTGAAAGTCCGAGTGGCGGTTTCTTGAGAGCCATGGCGCTGTCCGTGCGCAACGAGGGGCCACTGGCCTTGTATCGAGGCCTGGCACCCACCTTGCTTCGCACCGTTCCCGCATCGGCTGTCATGTTTTGGACTGTAGAGCGCACCAAGACACTACTGTCGGGTTACGGGCTATGAGATTTTAGTGTCATAATATATTCCTACTTGGTCGTTAATGATAATGTTATGATATGATGCCTATATGATTTTTTTAGATCAATGTTACATGTTTTCAAGTATGCCTGCTGGTCGATGTAGGTACACCATCCACCCGGGACGATACAGATTTTGTTTTGTTATGTTTTAATTTTGACAACATAAAAAAATATTTGATGCACAGTTGACTAAAGTAATCGATTCAGTTTGCCATTTCATCTCTAGTATTTACCGCAGCAAACTTCCATTGATTTGTCATTTATTTATCAGTTGCATACCCTAAGGTTACCTCTATACTATTAGTAAACTATACTCATTATGATAAAATTTAATGTTTCAATCATCTCTACGTGTCTAGTGTGTTTCAAGATATTACAATAGTCAATAGTAGTTACCAATAATTAAATTGAATTAATCATTTTTGATTAATATATTATTATCATAGCTTAATTTAATTGTCCTTGTACGCTATATAATAATCTTAGCTTTTTAATTGGTATATTATATTTATTTGTGTTTGCTTAAAATGTGCGAGCTATTTACTTTGGTTTCCAATAACTTTTTCACTCTAAACTATTTTACTAAGAAAAAAATGATGATTTCTTTATTTTAATTCTAAAATATGTTCTTTTTAATCATTTACGCGATATAGACACTAATAAAAAATATCTTATAACGTTTAACACAGATACCATTACTTTGCTTCTAAAACAATAACTTTGATCCAAGGGTTGTAACTGATAATGTCTAATATTGTGTTGTGAAAAATATATTTACAGGCTATTAAGTAATAAATTTATTTTTATTGTTATGAACTGTTAAATATCATTTTCAAAGAATTTTAATTTTTTTTTTAATCTAAATTGCCTATACAAATCCCCTTAAAGTTGTTATTATATTGTATTCAGTGTAGTATAATATAGGTAATATTACATACTATTATAATATAAAAATCATAAATATGTCTTCCATATTATAATGTATGTCTTCCATGTATTGCTCAGTTATTGTTATTGTTGATTGTCATTTTAGTTAATTGTTACTATTACTTTTTTTATATATATTTTTTTATTTTTTTCTTAGTTCATAAGTAATAGTTGTTAATTATCTGTTATATTTATTTTATTTGTATCCATATGGTGACATTGTGATTACCATCACTCATGTGTTGTGTAAATTTTAGGTTTTTCATGTTGAAGATTTTGTCTCACTCAACCAATACCTAGCCTTGGCATTTATAAATATCCTTAGTTATTTATTTATAGGAAAATTATTATTTAGTGATTATATGTGTGTTTATATATTGATATAATAGAGTTCGTAGACTGCCCGTATAATGTTGTTTTTGCTTTCAACCAACTTTACAAGTATCTTAGCTAGACTATAGGTGTAGTCAATCATACTTATTCATCATCCTACTCCGATCTTAATGCTCTATCTTTGCTATGTTTCCAGTTTTGGATTTAGGGAAAGAAGAGTTTGGTTACATTTATCACTTGTTGAATAGTGTGTAGCAACTTTAAAATGTAATTTTAAATACATTTTTGTATCGATTATCAACACAACTAAATATGGCTATGTTTATAAAATATTTAATTTTATTACAGTTTTGGTACAAGTAAATAGTTTTTTATGTTGTTGTTTTACTAAAATACAATGTGAATTATATAGAATATAATTTTTTTTTTTAAAACATTGTTATATAATGAAGAATTAATGCTTAGTATTTAGCAGGCACCTGATTTATAAATATCTTGTGGAATCACAAATTAAATAATTTAACCATATGAAATATGAATATATACTACTGTTGATCATAGATACTTGTATTTATAACCAATGATATACATAAGTAAAATATAATAATGTAAAAATGAAAGTTTGTATATTAGTTATTTTTATTAGCAATATTATGCTGATATACATATTATGAACAATGTATAATTAATTAATTTTGTAAGCAATGATTTCCTTGTTATCCATCAATATAATAGCCAAATGGAAAATTAAAAATATAATGTGAGAGATAAAGATTAGGATATAAATATATGAACATAGAGAGTTATACAATATAACTGTACGAGTATGTACCTATTAAATGCACTTATATAGTTACATCATTATGATCTATGACTATAAATATACAACTATACAATTATAATTAAACGATTACCTAAGTAATAATTTATACTTAATTTTGAAAATGTAGTGACTCAATTGGTTTCATACTGTATCGTTGTTAGTATTAATGTCTAAATAAAATAAATAATACGCTTACGTATGTTAAAATTATTTATTTATAATAATTATTGTTTAAATTTTATATTTGGTGGCTATCTACTTAGCTATTTAATATTTGATGAGTTACCATTGTCATTGGCATACCAATAAACATAAAAATGTTTTATAATTTATTAGCTGTCATATGATAGGTACTTATGGAAAGATGACAGATAACCTATTAGATAATTTCAAAAAAATATATTTAGATAGGTATATATATCAAAGCTATATGGAGTAAGACTTTAAAATTTGTAATTTATCATAAAATTAAGTCATTATTTTTCTTTAAAGTAATGAAAATTGATTTAAAATTACCTAAAATTACCAAAAAGAACCTAAAAGTGAAACAATTCAAGAAATGCAAACAAAATTTATTATTTAATAGGTATTTATATTCATACACAAATTAAATAAATTATTAGTTGGAAAAACATTTTTTTAAATTAAAAAAAAAAAATGCAAAAGTCATTAAGAGGATAACACAACATACATCTTCACATGTTGTCTTCATATTAAATACTAACATAACTAAATACAACATGGCAAATACAATGTTCAAAATAATTCAGTTCACTCTCTGTTTTAATATCATAATGAATTGACCTATTATTAAATTTAAGAGCAAGAATATTATGTATAGAAGCATAATTTTGATAATTTTGAAGCAGCTAGCAAGTAATAATCATTTTTAAATTTAAAACTGAGCTCTAATTGTGATTAATTATAAAAACTTATTTAAAATGTAATTATTGTTCTATTTGCTTATGTAAGTTATTTTAATTTTATGAATATTGTTATTACCTATCTACTTAACTATTCGATATTTAGCCTACTTAAAAAGGTTATAATATAACGTAAGCTTTATCAAATAGTATTAATATTATTTACTATTATTTGTGGCTTAAGTTTGAAATGTTGTCATTAATCAAAAGCTATGGTTAAACTTAAAACATTTAATCGAGCGTCGGATATTACCCGCATAACACACACACCATTTATTATAATCTGAAACAAAAAACGACAATAAAAAATATTACAGAAGAACAACGTTTAAATGGTAAATCAAACATAGTAGTTATATATGATACAGTGATTGAACTACTAAAAGAGGGCCATACTAGCCACTCGTCTCGCTTCACGCTCTGTTTCTCTTCTTGAAAAATTTAAAAAAAGTCTATAAAATATTAAAATTAAATAATCTTATTTATCATTGTTTCAACTGTATATTTAAAAAATGTAGGTATATTCGAATTTAACTTTCTCTAAAAATCTAACCAATCACAATTTGTCACAACTTTTTTAAATTATAACTAAGACACGGTATTTTAAGCAGCAATCCTCGACTTGACGTATAAACCAAATTTATTTTCTCAATTAATTTTCTTGATACATGCCCTTGTATTCATATTACATAGGTACGTATTATGTATACCATTTACAAATTAGCATCTGACACTTCTATAAATATAAAGGTCACAATTGAACTACATCCTAGAAATCATTAAAGATATAGTCGATTTAGATAGGTACTTTACTTCGTATCGTGCTATTTAATTTGATTACAATATTACGCAATGATAGTATTTTTAATTATATATAATTAAAACTAAAAAAACCGAACATTGAAAACATAATTTTAACCGTAGATAAAGGCATTTTAATATATAATTATTATAGTAATAACAGTATAAAATATTAATTTTAAATCCTGAGTAGAGTTTCAGTAGATAGTCTAAAAAACTCTGTAACTCACTTTTTAATAGAATATTTACAAGATAAATATTATTTATTAAATAATATACTGCTACGTTATAATGTTGGCAAGTATTGTTTTTATTGATGTCGATCGAATTTTTTCAATTATCGTAAAGATAATGATGCAGGTCCATCATACATTACTTGTATTATTATTTATACTTGTCTATACTTCAATTTCAATATTCTCAATTAATTATTTTTCAAGAAAATGTTTACTACACATATTATTACCAATGTAGGTACCTGTTTTGTTTATTTCATTTATCCATTATAAATTGCTATTTAGAGAAACTTTGAATTTTAAATTTTGCTATTTTAGTTTTTGTCCTGTTTATTTTGCTATTTTAAATGTATATAATACACAATATTAAACAAGATATTTTAATTTAAAAATGTGTATATTATCCACATATGTTAATAATTTTTACAATCATGAAACAATAATTTCATTATAAGAAAAAAATTGAGAAATACTTAAATAGTATATACTTGACATTAAGTTATCTAAAATGATTACAATAACAATATATCGGAATACTGTTAACCGAGATAAATAGTCATATGCTAATTATTTCAGTGATAGATTAAAAGACATATTAGCACAATATTCTTCCTATCAAATTATACGATTGAGTTATATAAAAAAAAAAAAAATAGCGCAAGATTTTTGCCTCTATACTAAATATTAAATTTGATTTGGATTACCTTGGTCATAAGTTGTTTGTACTTAAATAACCTTACACCACACATTTGATAAATTATTATTCATTAGGTAGGTAGGTATCTATAAACGTTCGCGGTGAGCGTTTCTGATGACTTATTAGAAAACCACACGAGCAGCAAAGCCAATGTTTAATTTAATATGGTGGAGTAGGTACCCTTTCAGCTTTCAGCCTTCTATTCTTTATAACAATTTCAACATAGTATACTCCGAGTTATAACCATTATAAATTATTATATGCAGGAAAAAGTTAAGACAATAATACATAAATAATCTAATAATATGAGTGCATCGAACTTACATTTTTTTTTTTTTTTTAACTCGATTTAAATCCAAAACTATAAAATATTGTGTGTATTTGTATAAAAAATATTTGTTATATCTAAACAAGACCGTTGGCCGTTGCATATAATGCTAAAATATTTACTAATTACATTTTAGGCAAGTACACGGAAAAAAAACAAAAAGCACTGGTAACAAAGCTTTTATCTAATGATAATAAAATACGTTCTAAATGATCAAAATGTACCTATTTGGATTATTCCAAATTATTCTCCTTTAAATAACTGTTATATTTATATTTTACAATTTAACATTATAGCTGGAGACGAATATATTATTACTATTTGCTAGGCATGCAACTATAAAAATAGAATAATTTTTCCAGGGTGGAAACTATCACAAAATTAATTTTCGCCAAATCCCATTTATTATATAAAAACATACCTAGTGAATACATTTTTTCGTAAAAAAATTATCTCGTTTTTATATGAGTAAAGATATCCAAGACAAAAATCAGCAAATCATCTATATTAATTTTGTAAAATTAAGCATTCATAATATTGTATTTTAGAAAATGTTTTTTTTTAAATTATTTAATTTACAAGGTAGTGTTCAAAAATATTTAAGATTATAGCATGCATTAATGAGTATTTTATAATTTATAAGTACCCATTTTTAACATAATCTTGACCTGTTTTTGGTCAAATTCATATTAAATACAATCTATTAAGAATTAATTTAATATTAATTACGTACATAAAAAAACCTCAAACAAAATATAAAGTAGTCATTAAGTTTGGTTTTTTCTTTAAATCAAATTATTGATCAACTGTACTAAAACTGTGTTAGTTTGCAAGTCATAATCGATGAAATACAAAAACATGTTTAACGACAAATTTCGTAA